AATCATTCTGGGAAATAAAAAGCAGATAAAGAGGTTGGCCACGGAATTCTTTCCATGTTGACAATAGGGGAGACCGGGGTTACTTTGGTCACGGGGTTAGGTTTGTCACCCCAGTTTTTTTCATTGCAAACGCACTGACGGGAAAACGAAAATTTACAAATTATGTGACATCCCAGCGACGTCATCTCTTGGAAAGAAGAAGGGCTTGTAGTGTCATGTAAGTGTTTTCTGCCTAAATAACTGAATTTTGGCCCAAATTCCAAACTTTAAGTTTCTGAAAGAAATGCGTCTAGCTTCTTTGAAGACAAAGATTTCCACGGTGTTTTTACTGTTTCATAAGCGTATGTAAGTAGAGTTATTAACAACACATAAGATAAAGGCCTGCTGCGATCATGAGATGAGAGATGCGGCCTGATTTCCAAAATGGGAGCACGTGGCTACACTGGCCAAGCAGCATGGGGTTAGTTTGTCAGGGTGCTGAGGTTGCACCACTTGTAGGTCCTGTGTTAGGCCTATATTAAAATATTCCAAAGTCAAATATAGGAGCCGATTTATTGTTTTTCAGACACCTATAATGTCTTAATAATTGTAACATTTGCATTTATTTTATGTTTATGATAGAGGACCTATTAGGGCCTTTGTTTGGAGGACACAAGTATGGGTTTGTAAGGGTTTGCTCCTTTCAGCCCCTCCCCTTTCTCATTCTTTCACCTCCACCTTAATGGGCCACAGGTGGGGCCCATTAAAGTGGAGATGTTGGCAGAGTATTTAGGGTTGGCAGGTGCCAGCCTTGTGGCCTCTGCACTTTATTCCATTCCTTTTTCAGTGGCAATGTTTGCTGCTCCTCTTTGGTGCCTTGGTCCTTACTCATCATCTAAAGGTGGAGAGGACTGGGTCCAATGCTTCTCATGCAAAGGATGGGCACATTAGGACTGTGCAAATGTCAGTGTGCTCGCCTACATATGTCATAACTGCTACTCTGATGGTGATTATGCATAAATCATAGCTTTTGTTGGTTCATTGTAAAAAGAAAACAGTTCTTTTGTTGGTTCATTGTAAAAAGAAAACAGTTCTCACCATTTCTGTTATAAGAATATTGGACTGTCTTTTTCAGCTTCAGCTGATTGTCAACTATGACAATTTTACCCCACCCATCTGACAAAGTAACCCCGGGTATGGGGTTACTTCGGCATGTTTGTGACATATTGAAAATTGAATATTGTGACGAAAATATACGTTATATTGAGATTGTATCAATACAACTTTTGTAGGCGACATTCTGCACTACACATAGACCAAAAAGGTATTTCTCTAAGTTTTAGCAACAAAGAGTTATGAAGCCAAATACAAAATCATGACAAGGTAACCCCGTTCTCCCTTATTTTATTAGACACTCGGACTAGTTTGAAGACAAGTTCACAAGTCCGCCTTAATTTTTACTTTTGTGTGCACTAGTGGACTACCGCAAATTTCGAACCCTGTTATTATCTTGTAAGTGCAACACTGAATCTCACTGTAAAAATCTATCGATTGGGCCCTGATTCTTCCATTTGGCTATCTCTCTGCTAGCCGTCTGCACGTCAGCTGCACTCGTGTCAAAGCATAATCGGAGTGGCTATTCGCACAGCCGCTGTGCCAATAATGGGTCAAGTTATTTCATTCGCTCCGCCGCTGGAGTGGCTATTCGCACAGCCGCTGTGCCGATAGTGGGTCAAGTTATTTTATTGGCACAGCTGTGCCAATGCACAGTGCAGAGCAGCTGTTCCAATAAGGATGGGCCGTAACATTATTCGCACAGCGGCTGTGCGAATAGCCGCGTCCAAGCATAATACATGTAGGTACAATAGGAGATTTGCTATGACGACCACCGCAGATGATTCCCGCAAATTAGCTATGTCAGGGAGCGGGTCGAAAACGAAAGTACGCTATTCTGACAGTTACATAAGGGGGGGAGGGGACATATTTAGGGTCATTTATGTTTTGTTTCTTGCGGTTTTATTGGACACTGAATGCATTAGTTTTAACTGATCTTTGAAACTATAGTGCCGTGCGGAAAAGCACTTTCTGGGCTGAGTGGTGGTCGGTGGATTCCGAGTGCTGGTCGGTGCATTCCGAGTGGCGCCGACCACCGCCGACCAGCATGGGCAGAACCCTGAATATTAAAAGTGATGACAATCCATCCCGCCAATCGCGAAAAGAAACATATATGACGGGCAGGGGACACGTGATCATGTTGCCCAGTGCTCAAAAGTGCATTTGGATTCTCTTATTAGCGCAGTTGTCTCCCTAAGCTGTTAGGAATCATCTTCTACGCCGTTCCTATACCTTATGACATTTTCCGCAAAGGTTAAAGAAAAGTGATTAGGAATTAATGGATAGTACGTGATTTTTTGACTGTTCGGAGGCAGCCCGAGTGAGTGGTTATATAGCTACATTAGCGAGCCAGTTCACAATCCTGTCTATTAACCCTAGAAGACTAACCTACTATTCATGTAACACTCCCAACAACCATGGGGTGGGTGGAAATCTCCTGACAATGGTGTTCTAGGATCAAGCATCTTTATGTGCGGTAATGCAACTGTAGCATAAATACTTTAAATTGGACCGCTGACTATCTACTGTATGAATTGGATAAAGTCACAAACTGAACATTACATTGGACTGCATCATGTTAGATTTCTGATTCCGCATTTTTTTTCATTTTCCCCACTGTTCCCAAGTTGGTCGGGATATTTTTGCTCCGTCTGAAAGTTGGTCGGGACATATCCCGACGATCCCTAACTAAATCTACCCTATGCAGGGAGGTCTCAGTCTAAAACCAACTCATATGCTAGACACTGGAAACAGGCTAAGACAAACTCACAATGTGCAATGTGGAGTGAGAAGTATTTATAAAGAGAAGCTAAGTGACTAATTTGGATGGGCAGCAGGAGTGAAGGGGAGCTTAATGCGTACATGGAGGTGCGGCTACAAATAAAGAGGGAATCAAACAATTAACATCGAAAGACGGCGGTGCACATGAGTGAGTGAGAAACAGAGATGCCACGCCCTGGCACCCAGATATGGTGATAGGGCGCCAGGCAAGGAGTGGGTGAGGACCCATGTGCAGGGACGTGGATTTTGTTAAATAATAAAAGTGAATATAACAAAACAAATACAAAACTTCAGGATACGAAAAGGAAGTGCAGAAAACAAAAAGCAGACAATTACTGTGGCTACCTGCCTGTGAAGCGGGGAACTAAGCTTTAAATAGAAAGGGGAACATAATTCACTAAACAGAAACAGGCGACAACTATTGACATAAAGGGAACTGAGGATAATTGATTAATTAACAAAGGGCAGGTAGCCAGGCACTGGAATGACTAAGGGGAAGGACATTACTAGAGAGCACATGGTGAGTGAGAGAGAGTGGGAGTGCTACACTAATAAAAATAACTGCTACAACTAAACCGGTGGTTCTCAAACTTGGTCCTGGGGGACCACTGTGTATGCTGGTTTTCACTGGAACCACAATTGCAATCCCAGAATATCATATCTGCATATCTGGCTTTATCCTTTCTTCTAGTCTATAATTTACAAAAATTATGATATATCAAAGGAGACTTGAGACCTGTGATAGATACAGTAAAATAATGTTGAAAATCATTATTGAGATTGTATATCATGTGGGAAAGTAGGGTCATTTTCTCATAGACTTCTCTAGCATTGAACTTCTTTCTGCTACTACCGACGTGGCCATCTGCTGGCCATTAAATAGAATGCAATTTTAAGGCTCTTCCTCACTGGCTTCACTTTTCGGACCCGGCTGCTGCGTCAATCTTTTTGTACAGTCTATGTGCGTTATCTATGTAGGACAGGTAAAAAAAAAAAAAAAAAATGGCAGTTGAAAGCATGACAACTCTGTGATGATATTAATAGCACCAAAAGTGAAGAGATGTAAGTATTAAGATCTACTATTTCCCGACACCAGTGTGAAAACGGTCTGATTGGTTGCATTGCTGCCAAGCACTGGCAAAATAAAAATAAAAAAACTTGGGTTTGCCAAGAAATTTAAGGATTGGACCCCAATGGACAGGGAACAAGTCCTTTGGACTGATTAATCAAATTTCAAAATTTTCTCATCTAAATGCAGAACTTATGTGCGCCAGAGAGTCAGAGAACATTTCAAAAATGACTGTTTAACCCCTTCACTAAAACATAGATGTGGTAATATTATGGTTTGGGGTTCAGTCTGCTGGAAAGGAGCCGGTGATCTTGTAAAAAATCAACGGTATCATAGATCAAAAGATGTATCACTGCATCCTTGTGAGGCATGCATTGCCAACTGGAAAGAGACTGATTGGTCAGGGATTCTATTTGCAACAAGATAATGACCCTAAACACACTTCTAAGTTGTGCAAGAATTATCTCAGTCGAAAAGAAACGTCTGGGGCCTTATTTATAAACATTTGCGTGGATTTCATACCTAAACTAGAGCCTTCCGCCAATGTACTCAATGTTATTTTTGCTAGTATTAGCTCGCAACCCCTGTGTTTATGCAGTCCTGTAGTCTTTGCGCAAATATGTTTTTAATGTGTTTTTGACCTTTTGCATGTCCTTGACCTTGACCTTTGACCTTGACCTCCCAAAATCGAATCACGTCTTCCTTGAGCAATACTTAATCATTCCACCAAATTTGAGGAAAATCCAACCATAACTTTTTGCGTAATCCTGCTTACAAACAAACCAACAAACCAACCAACAGACAAACGGTAGTGAACACATAACCTCCTCCAACTTCGGTGGGCTGAAGTAATAATATGTACGCACCAAAAAATAAAAATGACATTTTGTGGAAAATAACCTAATTTATAAACCTATGGGTAAAATAAACTGCATGGTATTTTCGTTTATTTAATCAGGATGGACTTGGAATTTGTTGACATGTGCATAATCTTAATAATTTCCCTTTTTTTAATGTCAAGTTTGTTTTTATAAATTAGAAATCTGCAAAGAGGGGCTGCCGGGTAGCTCACTGGGTAAAGCATCGCGTTGTGAGCAGAAGTGATTATCACGTCGCAGGTTCGATTCCCGCTTCGTACCAGCCGGCAGTGGTCGGCAGCTTTTTCAGAGTAGCGCACAAATGGCTATTGCGCTACAGGGTTGCAAATTGGGAAGGGACTGCCGGGAAGGGAAAATAATAGTTGTCTTGTTCGTTGCTCAAGCGCCTCCTGTTGGCCGGACGGGTGCTCATCAGGAAGATTCTAAGTCCGTTCATGTCCGGGTATCCTCCGCCCTCATTCTGAACTTGCGAAGATTTAACCAATGAGTGTATAAGAAGCGGTGGCTGACATTCGCGTGCTTCGGAGGAGAGCTGCGAACTGTCTACACTCTCCTGAATTGGCAGCAAGGGGTCGCATACGAGCAAGCCTTGTACATAGTTCACCAATTGGGCATTCCAGATTCGGGTGGGATTGGAGATGCCAAATTTTTAAAGAAAAAAATAAAAAAAAAAAAAAAATAAAGAAATCTGCAAAGAAAGTGACGTACGTATCTTTTTTGTGCCTACGCACCGTTTATAAATGAGGCCCCTGGTGATGTAAAGGTTATGACTTGGCCAGCTCAAAGTCCAGATCTTAATCCAATTGAGCAAATCTGGGATTTCTTTGATACCTAGATAAACAAATCTATTGTAACATCAAAAAAATCTCTTTGGAATGAACGTCAAACCATATGGAATGATTTAGCGAGTGAGGAAGTAAAAAAACATTCGTGAACACTATGCCTGAAAGATGAAATGTTGTTTGTTTTGACTATATATTGTTTTCTGTTTTCTTATTTTCATCTATATGATTCAATGGGCCTCATGCAGCAACCTTCTCTTAAATTTCTCTTATAGTTTCTCTTATTTTATTGCTAAGGGAAAAAATAAGGGAAATAAACTCTGGATGCACCAAACGCTCTTCCCATGTGTGCTGAATGTTGAATCCCACTTGATCATAAATTGGAAGTGCGTGGCCGATTGTTTTAAATTAGCATATATGACACCCACTCAACACCATATAAGGGCAGGTGACATGCCGTGTTCAAAGAGCCGACTGCTCGTGGCAATCTAGGGCGCTTTCACACTGGGTACGATTGCTCCATACCGTGCCACAGTACGATTGTCCCCCCTCCTCTCTCCCCCCGCTGGTCAGCTTTCACACTAGTAATATCGTGTCATACCCGAGTACACTTGCAAAATTCCGATACAGCGCGTTGCAGTATGCACCTAGGTGGTTTTAAATGGAGAACGATTTTGAAAGGAGGCGCCAATATACTGTATTTCGGGGGGTTTTATTATTGAGAAGGGGGTTTAGAATATTAATATCGCAAATGCATATGCTGCACGTGCCCTAGCGACCCGGTGTGTCATCTTTAACATGGATTACCGCGTATAGCAGCACGAAAAATTAAACTCAAAATTTTCTTGACTGAATGCTTGATGTTTTTACATATCCGAATCTTTCTCTGGGTACCCAAACATCAAGGTAAGCCGAAAATGTACTGATTAGATTCGATATAGGTGGATGTTGCATACGGAATTCTTCCGCCCTTGCGTTTTTGGCCGATTATGCTGTCCTCTGCCTCATACCACGAAAATTAATCTATCTCATAACTTGAGCTGCCAGACTTTCGCACCGCGTCCCACACTTTGAAATATCGCAGCCACAGTTTTTTTAGTTTGTCATGGCACTGATCTATGATAACCAGGCGAATGTAACTACTCACAAATTATTCCATAAATCTCCGAGTTCTTGCGTGTAGTACCCAGTTGTGATTGTATGTTTCCGTCTGCCTACATTTTGAGCAAGCATTGAATTTCTTTGTTTGAATGGAGATATCTTTTCACCACTGCATTTGTTAGAACAAGAGAGCCGTAACACATAACAGTAATCATCCGTGCTCAAGAACGATTGCTTTCAAATTTGATATGAGTATCCATCCATCTGTCTCAGCAAACAGATCCTCGCAATCTCTATAAACGCGCTCTCTGCACAAGGCCTGGATGGCCAAAGCGTCCAACTGCAATAGATAAGCCATTCAGAGGCAGAACGCAGAGCAAAAATAAGAAAACATTGGTGTATCCCAGAAATCAATGGGTAAGAACAAAATAAGAAAAATTGGGAATAAGAAAAAAAAAGAGAAAATTTGTTCTTATATCGATTCTTGCATGAGGCCCAATATTACATGAAATAAATACTTGAATAGGACTTGGTGTCTGATTTATCTTAATTTTATTATGTGTATAATCATCACGGCACACTACCATAGGTTGTAAATAACTCTTTACCTTCAATAAATTAAATAATTATTTAAAAGCAGTATTTCATGTTTACTCATGTTGCATTTATCTTACAATAAAACTAGTTGGATGATCTGAAACATTTAAATATGGCAAATAAGCAAAAACACAGGAAATCGAAAAGGGGTACAAATTTTTACTCGTCATTGAATCTATCTTTCAAATTAAATTTATAATATTTTTTGTAAATAATTCATTGCATGGTTGATTTTTGTTCCATGAAATCTGGCCATTTAAGCTTGAATAGCACGCAAGGGTTAAAGTCCATTTGCCAGCTTGGCCAAATTTAAAAAGGTGATGTCACTTCCGAGTGGGAGTGTTGGCTACAGCAGAACTCAGCTGGCATGTTCTCACACAGGCGAAGCTACTTTCCAAGCTCCGCCTTCCCCTTAGACACCCCAACCCCCTGCCGACATTTGCTGGTGGGCGTGCTAGCACAGGACCACACCCCTGAGTAATTGTCAGAGCTGCAGCTCTCCCTCTCCCAGGCTGTCCTCACTGATCAGAGCAAGAAACTGAGCTACCACCGCTGTTCGTGACTCGCGCCTCATCCGCCTTTCCCCAGATACACTCCTTCACCCCCTGCTCTCTCTCCCCAAACTGAGAATCTCACAGAGGGGATGCATACAAAGCCAAATAATCCCCCTCCCAGCCCTACTTCTAAAATTAGGCTTTAAGACTTTCTGTGATTCCTTTTCTGTCTCCTCCATGGTGCAATTTTGCCTGCCTTATGGCCAAATGTGCCCTTGTAGAGCTGTGACCGACTCACGGTGTGTTCCTCCAAACCCAATGGGCAGGGGTGGGGAAGGGGGTATCATTTGCCTTATTTGTTAAAGTCGTCTGACCATTGCACCCAAGCCCATCTGATTTAACGGTCCTCCTACCCTGAGATATTATGGTATTAACTAAAAAAATGCAGTTCCTGAGGAAACAACTTCTACTCACTTAAAAGCTGCTGAATGGCTTGACTTGATTTGCCAATGTCATGACTCGTAAGTAGCAAGTGGATGATGCCATTGCAGGCTGCATCACCGGGCTGAATTTGCAAAGTTTTGTGTTTTGAAAGTTAAAATTTAAAAAGTTGAATAGAAACATGCATGTCCTCAATAAGCTGAGCATTATGAAGTTTCAAGATGTATGGCTATAGTTAGGGAATAATAATAATAATAATAATAATAATAATAATAGTGGTATGAAGTATGTATGAAGGCTTTTCTGCACAAGAATTTTAAGAAGTAAATTTGAGTTTGCTTGCCTGCTGCAAAAATGAGAATGATTTAATAATGAGAGTCATTGCCCCCTAATTGCTGACTCTTCAAATTTTCTCATATTGCTACTCAATGAAGACGTGAACATAATGACGACTTTCATATTGATTTTTCCTTGCTAAGCCAGTCGTACAGTTGACGAAAAATGATTGGCTAATCAAGGCCGTGTTTTCAAAGGTAATACTTTTAATTGGAAACACAAACAGATGCGTGTACAGACATACAACAAGTAAAATTTCAACATGATGCTTCAGATGGTTGAAGAGATAGAGACATTTAATCTATTGCAGATTTTATAGCACCTTTTATACCACCTATGCAATGAAAGTTGCCAAACCTTGCATCATTTTACGGCATCAGGGTATATGCCAGTACACTAGACTTTATTAGGACAATGCCTTCATAAGTCAAGACTGTTAGTAAAATTATCCTCATCCACTACATTTATTCATGCATAGTAATCATATTGTTTTGCTAAGTCAAAATTTTTTCAATAATTATTGAGGTTCAGAATACACAGATTCTATTTTGCCTGATTTAGAGAGGATGGGCTAAAAATGACCAGACTACTTTGCAAAAGCAGGTTTTGTTAAAATAATAATAATAATAATAATAAATGGTGATAAAATTTTGGCATATGCAATAGAAATTGGGAACAACCATTTTGTTAATTTTGAGCTAACAAATCTGCAGATAAAGTATGCAGAAGAAGAAGAAACATTTGCACGTTTTTGTTTATGAATGGTGTTAATAAGTACCAATAGAAAATGATTATTCCTTTCTGGGTGAAAAGGTGACATTTCTTCCTCAGTTAACACAAATGTATCTCACTTTTGGAATTTCCTTTATTCAAAGAATTCTCTTGATGATGAGGGCAAATGATGACAACAAAGCATACAGATTGCTGGTTGGATGGATGAGTTTTATTCCAGCCATCTGGGAAGTGGTCTTGTACTGTACTTTGATGATCTCTTCAATATCCATAACCTGTAAATAGGTTTTACCTAGCATTTACCAAAAAGCCCATCTGGCACACAAGATGAAAAGGACAACTGGGCACATATGGGCCTATGTAAAGTTGGAGATTACATCATGATCTTTTAAATCTGTTTTAGAAACTTAAATGCACACTGAGCTCAGCAAATAAATAGAAGCCCATATAAGTTCAGCATGCTTCTCTTATGCACAGTCAGTGAGTACACTGAAGCTCAAATAAATTCATCACTCACTCTCTTAAACACAGAGCTCAGTGAGTAAAGCCCATATAAGCTCAAGACAATGCAATGTCATTTCCACCTGTACTTCTCTGACAATGTTTGAATGAATGAATGATGAATGAATGAATGAATTTTGCATTTATGTAGTGCTTTCTCATAATTACTCAACGCGGTTTACAATCATATGTATGACGGATTATAACTGGCCAAAAGCACGCAAATGCTGACATGGTGCACCATAGCTGTGCCAGTCTGCAAGTTACCTGGCTACA